TTAAAAAAATTACATTAAAGTCATGTCAAGTTTTGGAATACGCGGTCTTCAAGTAGTTGTGTTGTCATTCCCTGTTTCCTGTTTATTCGCGGATCAAAGCGAGCGTGCGAGCCTAGGTGCGAGCTGAGACGTTTTCGACGGTATGAAAAGTTTTATCGCCTAACATTTGTATTGAACACTGATAACAAATTTTAACTCCATAGCTCAAATGAACAAATCGTTCGGTGCTTCTCTACAAAGTCAGAGACTTCAAATAGTTCGAAAAAGAAAAGTTGCAGCAGCCTCCAAATCGTTTCTAACCTCAACGACCGTCGAAGAGTCGATGCTGCGCTGTCAGGTAAGATGTAATATTTCTAAGTTTGTTTCGACCCGTTTTTGCCATCTAAAATGTAGAAGGGTGATAATTTATTACCGGTAAGGCTATTCAACCTCGGAGCGGATCAATTCATGCAAACGCCATAACCCGGTGTGCCTCAATTCACCCGTTTGGGCAACATGATTTTCTTTTTTGTTGGGTACCTGAAACCTTAAAATCTACTCTTCCTGTAAAACCTAGGCCTAGTTGCGTTGGTATTCTTGACTGGAAATATGAATTGAATAAGTCAGGTTAATTCCCAGAAGGGGTATTTCACCTATTTGTAACACCCTAATCTCAAACAATACACTGGAAATCCAAGTTTATAAATGTTGGACACCTCACCTAGAAGACTTACTTTTTAGTCCAGAGAGCCCAATTCAGAACCAATAGAATTTAACACGTTGAGTTCCAGGGGGGCATTAATGACGTGCATTGTGACTAATCATGTGGTCACGTGGGACTCAACGTGATAAGCTCTGGAAACCAAATTTTATCTGTGGTGATGAAATAATTTTATGAAGCTAACTTAACTTATTGGTGTGATCATATTAGTTAAAAATTGGGTCACCAAATTTTAGTCGGTTTCTTTGTTTCTTACAACCCTGATTTAGTTGGAACTACTAATTAGTCCTCTGGTTGCTCGGCGAGTGAAAATATTCACTCACCTGCACTAACACTAATAACACGACAAAAGTGATGTTCATGGTACCCCTATGAACGAGATGCACTGTAGCATCATGGCGCCTTCTCTCATGATTGTGCCTGTTCTCTAGAGCATAAATGCGGAACCATGTTCAAGTAGCCGACCTCCCTTATCGTCGAACTAACGAAAGAACAGTACGTACTGTTGCCCATTTCTCCACCTTGTTGAGGGTGGGTTGAACCGCTGTCCCCCACCCCCAGACAGGACCAGCCCCACCACCCCTACCCACCCCCGGCGCCTGAGCGTGGCGCGCAATCTTGTCTTCATTCAACAACTTTTTTCTTAATGCTTCATTCATAAAACTGCGCAGACTAGGGAGGGGGAGTGGCGGGGGTGGGGGCGTCTGGTTGTAGGGTGGCAATGAGAGCGAAGGGGGAGGGGGTGGGGGCGTCTCGGCGACCGAGACGTTCGAATCGCCCGCGTGGGGGGAGAGGCGGTGGGGGCGTCTGTTGCAGAGCCAAGTGGATGATAATGCCATTCATTTGGCGGGAATCTCTTCGTCAGCTGATCGCAGCCGCGCCGGTTAGAGTAGGGGTTTTATTATTCTGTTCCCGTTCCGTCTCCCACCCCCTCCGCGGTTCCCCGCCCCTCTCTCTCTCGCTCTCGCTCGCGTCTCCATCGCCGTCTCCTTTTGTCTTTTCGCGGCGCTGCCACCACCGCCGCCGCCTCCGCACTTCTCTCAGTGTTTTATTTTTTCTTGGTCGCCGCCGCCGCGTGGCGCGTCGTCGCGCAGTCTTGAGATGTTTGCACGTTATGGCTATTGATCCTCTCCCCCGCGCCCGTCCCCGCGCCTGCAGCTGTACTCCTGCTGCCGCTGCCGCCGCTTCTTTTCCCTAGTTTTCTCCTGTTGCATCCCCGGCGCCTGGAATGGGCCGCGAGTTAGCAACACTTTGCAGACGCGTGCGCGCCGCGGTGTGCTGGAGGCAGGCTGCCGCCCCGCCCCGCCCCGCGCCGCGCTCGCTGCCTCCCGCTTCGCGAGGTGATCTGGGCGGCCCTGCAGCCTCCGGACCTGGACCCCTTTGTGCTCGCCTGGTTGCGATGGAGGCCGCCGTGAGGGGCCGCCCCTCCCCTTCCCCCGGAGTGGTCACGCGATTGGCCAGCGTGTCCACCCCCACTGGCCCACTCGAGTCAACCCTTCCCGGCCGCTGACCCCGCCCCGCCCGCCCCTCTCGCCAGGGGGTGGCTCCGCGGCGCGCCCGGGGGTGGGGGTGGTCCGCAACGCGTACGGTGGCGCCCTGTGGCCGGCCGATGAACTAGCGCCCGCTCGGCCCGCCGTTGCCGTGGACCTGGGGGTGGTGAGGGTGTGCGCGCGCGGGGACACCCTCCAGCTCGCTCGCGCAGGAAGAGACGGATGTGAGTACGTGAGAGCGTGTGCGAGTGAGAGAGCGAAGGAGAGGATTACCCAGAGGACATGTCCCGTGCACGGGGTGGGGTGTGAGGGGTGCAACAAAAGGGTGTGGTGATTACAATAAAAAGGTCAGCTACCATTAATTAGGTAAGGGTCATCTTGCATTATAGCTGTATTCTTTATCATTTTTTTGTAGGCCGTGTTCCGAAGGGGAGGCAGGAAGGAGCTGGGGCAGTGTCTTGACCCTCGGTCTGACCGCTGTCCGAGCAGCGGTCACCTGCCGGACAGGGTAGCGGAGCGCCGGCGCCCGAGGAGCAGCACCCTTCCCTCTCGGACCTCCGCGCGACGACTTTGCCCTCCGTGTCCGAGAGAGCGCGCTCGCATGCAGAGTGCGCGAGCCCGCGGCGAGCCTTCCCTCCGTTACCCTCCCCTCCGCGGGAAGGGCTGCGCCGGGGCTGCGCCGGGCTGCGCGACCACAGGCCACCCCCGCGCCCTCCCCTCCCTCGCGGCAACCCCCCTCCGGCCGCGCTCCCTTCGGCGGCGCCCTCCCCCGCCCGCGCTCCCCCTCCGCCGCCGCCGCCTCCCCGCGACGCTCCCCGCGACGCCCAGCGTCGCCCAGCGCGAGAGCGCGAGCGAGAGGACCGGGTCCAGCGGGGAGGGAGGCCGAGAGGGGGAGGGTGTGGGCGCGGGGCGGAGCGGGCGGCGCGCAGCGGCCAGCCAGGCCGGCAGCGGAGCGCCTAAGCGGGGCGGCGCGGGGCGGGGCGGGCGGGCCGGGGCAGGACGGCACAAGCAGGCAGCCAGTCAGTGTACCCACAGAGGCCCTCCCAGGCGGACGGGCAGGCAGGCAGGCTGGCAGACAGCCAAGCGCCACGACGAGCCCAAGCGACGACCCGACCCTCGCCGAGCCGAGCCGAGCCGCGACCGTCCGCGGGACTTAGCGTGTTGTTGTGACCGCGCGTGCCGAGCGCGACGCGTGCCGCTGACGCGCACCTGCCGGGCCACCTGCCGGACTTACCTGCTGCCTCTCCAGTGGATTCCCCTCACCGGCCGAGCGCCGCCCTGTGGATTTTAACTCTGTGGATTGCAGTGCTGTGCGGCGCCGATGGTGCTTCCCCGTGCGACATGCCGTGCGCCGGCGACCTCCTGAGGTCGGCGCGCTCGTCCCGCAAAAAGGATTAAAGCAGTGCGTCGTCGTCTTGTGTGTTTGTGTGTGACAGTGAGTGGCCGGTGATGACGGCGAACTGACTGACAGTGGTGATGGTGACATGTTGTGCGGATTAACTCTAACGACACGTGGATGACCACGACGGCGACGGAGACTCTGCCGGCGAGGAAGCCCAGCCCTTCCCCCCCGCCCCCGAGTCCCAGTGATAGTGTGTCGCCCACAAGCACGACGTCTGCGAAAATGAGGATAAAGATGCCCGCAGTGAGAATCAGCCAAGGTAAGTGGAGGGCGTGAGTGTGTGCGTGTGTCGCTTTGACGCGGGGTTGGAGGAGTGCGAAGTGCGTCGTCCGCGTCCAGGGCGCTGGTCTCCGCGCCGGTGGCGGCTAGAGCTCGCCCGGGTCGGGTCGCGCCGGCGTCGCGGCGCCGCCGCCGCGCCGAGCCGCTCCGAGGGGTGGCCGGGACCGCGGCGCTGCGGCGGGCGTCGCACTGCCGGGGGTGCGCCGGGCCGCGCCGAGCCGAGCCGGGCTGCTCTCGCTGGCCTTAAAAATTAAAAGTCTGCGGGGCAAAAACAAACAGGGCGCTAACTATACAGCGCGGCGGGGGTGGGGCGCCGCGGCGCGTCGAGAGGGGCGAGCGAGGAGCGAGTCGTGGGGCCCGGCCCGGGCCGTGCGGCGGCCAGGTAGTGCGGCGCGGCCGCGGGGGTGTCGGGGTAATGGTGGCGGTCCTAATTGCGCGGCCCTTGGCCAGCCCAGCCCAGCCCCGGGAGGAGGGCCACTTTGGGCGCTCGGTGGCGCCGGGGAACAAGTGTGCGGGCCCCGATGAATGGCCCGGGGTGAGGCCAGGCCGTGAGGCCGGGAATGAAATGGGAAGGACTCTAAGCCGGGCTTGGGCGGGGCGGGGTGGGGATGGGTCGGGTCACTGCAGGTATAGAGAGGCCGCAGGCGTGTGCGGGGAGGGTGGTGGAGGAGGAAGTGGAGGACGAGGGTGATAGTATAGTGAGCGTAAAGAGAGGTGAAAAAAAATATTCGGTGGTGGTCGTCGTCATTGTTATGCTGTCGGAAAAGAGTTGAATTTTTGAGGTGCGCCCATCTTCACTTTGTCCTCGTGATGGGATCTACTGACCACGACAGTTCGATGACCGACCTCCTCTAAGAAAGGCTTGTTTACGTTACCGCCTCCTACATATGTATTCCCACACGACACTCTTTTCCTTTGGCCGAGTCGTGTTCTTTGCCGTGTGCGTGTGCGTGATACGCGCGCTGGGGTTGTAGGCTACCGCGACGCGTTTTCGCAATCAACGGCAAACAAAGTGCTTTCCGCCGCTCAGAGGGGGTGAGTCCGGCGCGGCCGCGAGGGGTGCGCGACGCGCTGCTGCAGCGGGTCGCCGGGTGTCGCCGCCGCCACCATGACCGACATCCCCCGTCCTGCTGCTGCTTCATCGCCGTCGCGTTGTCGCTTTCCTCGGCGGACAGTGTGTAGAGCCGGCGCCGGTCTTGTAGATTTTCCCGCGGTTTGGGTGACTGAGTTAGGGGCGCATTGTGGTCCTGTCCAGGGGAGAAGGGGATGTCGTCGCTTATTTTTTCCCTTGCTCCCGCGAGCTCGCCTTGCATAAACCAAATACTGCCACTAGACGGGGCGGAGAGCGGAGCATCAGCTGGGCGCGCTGCTGGGGTATTGTGTGCAAAACAGGATGCAGGAAAGGACGATTCAGTTTACAGGTTTATAGAGACGGGCTCATAGTTTCGGATTACGCGCGGATGGGCCACGCCATGGTCCTGCACGTGCACCTCACCTGGGCCTCAATGGGGGGCGGCGCGGCCGGGCGGGGCCGGGCGGGGCGGACGGAAACTGTGCAATGTGCCTCGCCTTCCTCCACCCCCGGCGCAGCGCCGCGCCGCCCCCGGGGGCGAGGCAGACCCAGTTGGTGGGTCCGGGGGGCGGCGCGGCCGGGCTGCGGGAGCGCGGCGGGGCGAGGGCGGCGCAACTGTCCGGCCCTCCTTTACCCCGCCGCAGCGGGCCACGCCGCGCCAGCCGCAGCCCGCTCGATCGAACAAAGCGGGACGGGAACATGGCGTGCCCCTTGCAGCGTCCTCGTCCTGTAGGAACCTGGGGCTGCGCGCGGCGCGGCGTGCCGGCCTAGGTGCTGGCGGGGGCCAAAGCCGGGCCAGGTGGCCCCCAGAGCGCACTCATCCCGGCTCGGCCCGCCTATGGTTATAC